ATGGCCACATACTGTAGCAAACAGATATGAATGAGATATATTTCCCCTCATCAGTTATACTGAATACACTTGCATATTTCAGGAAACAAGAACTTTTGCTCCAGAACAAGGTTAGAAATTGGGTATGGGTACATCATCTGTCAATGGGGCACATATAATAGAACAGGTGGGGAGCTGCGTCAGCATGCGTAGGCTGCAAAGGAACAAGTAAGAGGTTTATTCCATGCTGAAAAAAAGGAGAAAGAAAACACAATGTTTCGGTCACACACTTCACACACCTGAAGAAGGCTCCAAGGCCGAAACGTTGTGTTTTCTTTCTTCTTTTTTTCAGCATGAAATAAACCTATTACTGTTCCTTTACATATAATAGAAGACTCTTTCAGAGCAACACATAATTAGGACATTATCGTGTAATTAAAACCGACATTTTAAAAGACGTGCTGAAACGTTTTTCGAGTGAGCACAACGAGCAGAATGAGACACGGGCCACAGCGAGCACCTGATCCAAGCTCTCAACACCCTCACAGGCACGGATGGCCAACACAGCAGATCTCATCACAGTCAGCTCCAGAACGTGAACCAGATCACACCAGTGGACACGGTGAAGAAGTGCATCTGAAACAGAGCGGGGGGCACCGCTTAACACAGAGGGTAGTAGGAGTGTGGAACAAGTCACCCAGCCATCTTGCTGAAGCCTGGTTTCTTTCCAGAAACAAACAGATGTGATTCTTGTGTCACTTAGCTACTAACTACCAAAAGGGCTTGATGAGCCGAATGGCCCCCTCTCGTCTGCAACCTTTTTTATGTTTTAATACGACTCCCCTTGAATACACAGCAGGTTGCAGAGCTGCTATTTTATGTAAAAAAACTGGAACTACAAGTCCACAAGCTCACTGGAGCTGCTGCACGCAAATAGGTAAAATCTTATCGGACTAATCAGGGGGGTGGTTTGGATTCAAAGGAATTTCTTTCACTGTCCAAACTGCAAATGAGATGGAGATCTCAGGGTTCCTACTTGAGAGCTACAAGTCATCTTCACACAGTCTAGTACATTTTCACCAGCACTCTCAAACAGCGGACACAGGGAGGGGCTGCCCCATATCAGATACAGGTCAGTGGGATACAGTGAGACAGGGGACTGCATCTCTGCCTCCTCACAGCTATTCCACAATTCAGAAAGTGTTTACTTATTGGTATTTGGTACCAAAAAAAAAAACAAAGGAATTTTCCTACTCGGTAAAGAAGAGCCCTGTTCCATGTATGGGCTGGACCAACCTCTTGAAGCTGCTGTTGCCTCCTATATGTTAGATTTGCAGTTAATAAAGACAACGTGTACAGCCATGCCGCTTGAATCAACTGAGTGTGTTTGGGGGCTTTGTTTTGCATCTGCAGGCCTCTCTACTGGGGTTTACAAGGAAAAGAAATAAATGTACACATATTACATGCTACCGAGCTGCTGAAGACAAGTTGTGCCAGGCCATCACAGGGCACACATACACACACAGGAACCATACTGATCCAGGCACAGGGCACAAGGCAGGGCACACCCTGGACAGGACGCCAGCCCATCACAGGGCACACACACACACTCACACACCCTGGACAGGACACCAGCCCATCACAGGGCACACACACACAC